GGGACCTTAACAGGTGCTACTACCCCGGGGTCAGGTTAAACCTGTGAACAACAGCAATTAAGAGGTGGTTCCACGCCACTCGAAACTTACAATCTCCCGATCAGAAGTCTTGCTGCCGGATGTAGTTAATCGTTATACCCAAGAATAGTGATTCTTTGGAATCCAGAGTATGGCCCAAAACGTTTGGCCTCTAGTGTACAATTCTATAGATCAGATTAATAGTGGGTAAATGAATGACAAAATTGGACGCAAACTGCTACTTTACTAGTTTCATCATTGGAAAGGAGTTCTTCAGAAGAATAAGGGTGATATCGGTAGAATCTTAAATATCTAGAAGGGGTAAAATAAAACAAATTATTAACCAGCTTTTGTTGTATGTTGTATCCAACCCCGCAAACATACATTGCTGCCATATATGGTCTGGAGCCCCTTCTGTTTGTCTCAAGATCTTTGATAAAATCCAGTGACGTAGGCAATGTAATTGGCCCTGACCGGACATCTTGTCTGCAGTCGTTCTCTCTCAGACGTGTCGTCGCCGCCCTCTGTCTTTTTTACAAATACTTTCATCGTAACTGCTCCGATGAGCTGCTTTCGCTGGTTCACAGACTTCATGAATTTAAGCGTTCTACGAGGCTGGCATCTCGCTCTCACCCTTTCACTGTCGAAATTGTTAAATGTAGCCGTCTCTTCTACTCCAATAGCTTCATGTCTCGCACTTCTCGCTTGTGGAACTCCTTCCCCATTTCTTGTTTCCCTGATAGCTATAATCTCCAACTATTCAAATATAATGTCAATCGACGTCTCCAGATGCCTTGATCTATCCCCTAGCCTTCTCTTCATCCTTTCCTCTATCACTCCTATTTGCTCTAGCTCCAACTCTCTGTAACCACTTGCATGCTATTGGCTTCCCGCCTTGCTTGGGATGAAACGCTTTAAAAAAAAAAAGAATAAATTCTACGATAGAATCATTACTTTTCGAGTGACCAAATATGTCTAGGGACTCACATGTTCTAGCCTTTTACACAGCTTCTTTTGATTATTTCTTACAAACATATAAAAATACACACTTATGTACAGTTGATATTTAGGCGGTTATGTCTATTGCGTCCGATCTTTAATGGAGTCCCTGTTAATGGGACCTTGTCATACACTACACAAAGCGTTAAAAATGTATTAAATAACTTAAGGGTAACCTCTGCAGCAATAGTCTCTTTTCTCGTACTTCTCGCTTGTGGAACGCTCATCCGTCATTTTGCTTCCCAGTCTTGATCGACAAAAATTTAAATGCAATGTTACTTGTAATATTCTGTTTGAATTCCTTTTATTTTATTATTCTTTCTCCTTAATAGTCTTCTCTCATATTCTCAAACACTGACTAACCTCTTGTGCCATTATTGTCTTGCTTGGAGGGAAATTATTGAAAAAAAGGTTAATTTCGTCGTCCATTGATGTTGGGTAAAATCTTAAATGTTACCATGTCCTTGTGCCAGACTACTTAAAGCTTAGTAAATTTGGATTGTTACCGTAAAGCGATGATGATTAACAAGTTATTTTTGCCAAACTATTGTTGGCGCGTAGAAACCTAATGTGTCCATTATTTCTCATTGTGACTGACTAAGATTCATGTAGGTAAAATGTAGATTCATGTAGATAATATGTAAATTCATGTAGGCAATATGTAGGTTTATGTACATAATATGTAAATTCATGTAGGCAAAATGCAGATTCATGTAGATAATATGTAGATTCATGTAGGCAATATGTAAATTCATGTAGGTAACATGTAGATTCATGTAGGCAATATGTAGATTCATGTAGGCAATATGCAGATTCATGTAGATAATATGTAGATTCATGTAGGCAATATGTAAATTCATGTAGGTAACATGTAGATTCATGTAGGCAATATGTAGATTCATGTAGGCAATATGTAGATTCATGTAGATAATATGTAAATTCATGTAGGCAATATGTAAATTCATGTAGGTAACATGTAGATTAATGTAGGCAATATGTAGATTCATGTAGGCAATATGTAGATTCATGTAGGCAATATGTAAATTCATGTAGGTAATATGTAGATTCATGTAGATAATATGTAAATTCATGTAGGCAATATGTAGATTCATGTAGGCAATATGTAGATTTATGTAGGCAATATGTAGACACACATATATAAAGACATAGGCTCTTATTTAAAAACCTTCTTACGTGTGAGTGCTTACATCCTAAAACGAATACATGAAACAACAATCATACATACACACACATGCTTTGGGTAATTTTCTTATAAACTCATAATTCTTTCAGGCTTTGTATAATTAACGAAGATTACGTTTTCTTGTCAAGCATTTCATCACGAAAATCTTTAACCGATGAATTTATAGCTTCAGTTTTTTTTTCTTTTTCCAAACGGCTCTCCCTCTCTTTCTCTTTTTCCTTTTTTTAATTTTCAAATTCTTCAAACCAACTGTGGTAATGGCCCAAAGATTGCGAAGGTTGAAAAAACTAATGTAAACTTAGTCATAACTATCTTTTACAATCTTTTAATTCCACTCGAGAAGTCGGAAGGACAATTGAGGGATGAGGGGCATGAAATTTCTTCTTCTTCTTCTTCTTCTTCTTATTATTATTATTATTATTATTCATTGGATGTATAGGTAGCCTAACGATTATCGGCGAACCGAGTTTAAATTCTGCATTAGCCTGTTGCATTCAATTTCTTACAAATGACGTTGGGGAAGCATGAATACATCTCTCCTTTTCCAGCTAGGAGGGAAATAACAGAGTAGACAAGGCTCTCTAGCCTTAGATGGCAATCATTTTAACTAGGGGAAACATTGTTGATTGACAGATTTGTTTTTACGGTTTATCAACACTTTGCGGGGCCATTTAAAAGCGAAATATAATTTTTTTTATTTTAATAGTAATTCTTTTTTCTGTGAATATTACAGTAATAATGTTTTCGACAATAATTTTTCCAAATACACGTTGTACTATTTAACCTTTAGCTGGAGGAGATGGATTCATACCTTTCCCAAGGAAATTTATATGTAAATGAATGAAACGAAGCGGACTGGAATTTGAACTCGGTTCTCCAAGAAGCTATCAATTACACCAGCCGCACATCCTCCAACTCATGGAAAACACAACATCAAAATATCTTTCTTAAATAGCTGCGGCAGTTTACACATAAACAAAAAGGAATCTGTGGATAGTTAGGATTGCCTATGGACTTTCAAAAATCGTTCATCATTTTTGACTTTTCAGACTAATTTAATTTGGTGGGTTTTATCTGAAGATAAAGTGACAGCAAGTCTCTTAAAACCATACACTGGCATTCTCCTCAGTGTTTTCAAAGGTTTCAACAATACTGATAGATTAATAGGATCAATTCTTTCTCGGGTTGCCAATTCTTCCTTTTTCTTGCAGGGTTAATCAAAACTGTTCCGAACGACACGAAAATAATTGTTAAAATTGCCAGGCTTATTTACATGCGGATTATTATCCTCATCTTTGTTGTTATTATGATCAAAGCAGCCCCCTCCCCAAGTTTGTGCCCTCACCCCAACTGTCCACACCTATTTATTGATCCAAGTCCCCATTAGAAAATTTCAAGCTAAACTCTTTATTTAATCTAATGAAGTAGATTCTTCCCGTCCCTCTGGCCATCTCTAGGGATATCTCGTCTAGTTCTTATTTTTAGGAATTTTTTGTTAAAAGTTTCACACCCATTTCTACTACAGAAGACCGTACACGTAAGCATCTACGTTAGAAATAAGGAAAATGTTTTGGAGAAAAGATTTTTCTATAATTTAAAAAGATGAATTCTTGGTTTATATATTATCAGCGCTGAGTATGATCTGTTTCTAATTTAAATTAAAATATTTTGTTTAAAAGAAAAACTTCTTCAAAGAGAAAACAAAAAGTTATTAACGTTTCTTGTTTCTAAAGCAAAAGATTGACAGATTTGTTTTTACGGTTTATCAATCCTGTTTATCAACATGTATGATCTTCCTTTGTGAAAATTGCCAATGGTTTAAAATGCTGAAAACGTTACCTTCAACGAAAAGTTACAACAATTCAAGAAACATTGTACGTAATCATTTTTTATGTATGTGGTTAGGTAGTAGAAAGTGTGAGTGAACAAGTGAGAAAGAAATGAAACAAATAAAATTTTCCTAGTTTCCTTATGAAATTAGATGTGCTCTGCTGAAAACCAAACGAGCCGCAATTTGCCCATCAGTTAGTGAGTTATGTGCCACACGTGACTGGCTAGGCAGAAGATTCCCCGCCGTTTCTTTCTGCAGTAGACTGGTTGCCAACCAAGGCTAAATGACCCAGTTTGTCCTGCACTTCAACCCATAGCTGGGAGAAAAGGAGATTGATTCATACGTTTGGATATTTGAATGTAAATGAATATAACGAACCCGACTGGAATTCGAACTTAGTTCTCCGATTTCTAAGTCAGTGCTTGATATACACGAGATATTTTTTTAATTATTTTTCTCAACATTCCATAACCCAAAGTTACGGTGTATATTATACAGGAATAATTACGATATATATGTCAACTGAAATTAATTGGGACAATACATTAAAAATATTAAAAATCCTTTGAATTTAAATATAAACGAGGTGTCTTGGATTAAGTATGGCAATTATAGTTGGTAAACATTAATATCGAATTAAAAATATTAAACTGTTCTATAAACAATTGTTTCAATTTATAGTATCTAATTTTGTATTAAGGCAAATTCAGTCTTTATTTCGACGAGAACGATTGTCATTTTTAAAATTTTAATCTCATGTTTTAATCTTTTTTTTTTTTTTTGGCTCTCGGTTATTTAAAAGTGGTTTATGAAAGTTCACTCACCATCGGTAAACAGCCATTAAAAAGCAGAAGAAAAAAGCACTGAACCGGATTTATTCAGGCGTTGGTATGTCCCACCCTCAACTTGGAGAATGATTTGTTGGCGAATGTGGCGTTGAGCATGAAGATGTGCTGCCCAGATTTACCTCCCCTTCCGCATTCCTTGATATTTTCATTCTCACCTGATAAACGAAATGTTATTCGCTTGTTTTGTTGATAGGTTTTGGTTTTGTAACTTAATTGGTAACGCTAACGACATTGTGGAAATCTTTGATTTACGAAGAAAAGAAAGCAGATTTAGATAAAAAAATCTTTTAAAAAATCTAACATCTTTTTTTGTCATTGTACCGAAGAAACTGAAGACGTCTGACTCTATATATATATATATATATATATATATATATATATATATATATATATATATATATATATATATATATATATATATACTAGCAGTAGAGCCAGGGATGTAATAGTAATAGAGAGAGATCAAGTATTGACCATCATAAAGACTGAAAAATAAAACTGACAAAGATTTTTGGACGTTCCAAATTTGAAAATAAATAAATAATTGTTATAATTCTTTTTCTATCCTTTGCAAATGATTCAAATTTTAGTATGTTATTATGGATGATAACGACTACCAGTTGTCAAAATTTCAGCTTTTCACAGTTGTTATTTCTAACAAATATTAGGTTTTAAAATTTTTCCCTTACTTTTGGACGCTACTGTATATATATATATATATATATATATATATATATATATATATATATATATTTTGGATTCTTTTATATTTTGGACAGTAATATCAGTAATATGTAATTACTTTTATATTTTGACCACAAGATATATACTTACCGATTCTTTTTATATTTTGGACAGTAATATCAGTAATATGTAATTACTTTTATATTTTGACCACAAGATAGTAACAAATTTAACTGATATATTTTTTATCACCTTAAAAAAAAAAAAAAAAACTTGGATAACGTTGCAAAGATATTTGATTTAGTTTATCACGTTTCGTCTAAAATGTTGAAAAATAATAGGTTGCAACAGATTTTGTATTTCTTTTCTGATTCTGTTGGAAATCTATCACTGGTTCTGAATTTTGTAGTACCCAAAATATATTGAAGCTATAATTACCTAGCATATTTATATGATAATTGTAATCTTGTGATATTAGCCATTTCTTTGTAAGGAAACGTTCGGCATTCATATATATTATATATTTATTTATATATTATATGCGCGGTTTATGTCTGTATGAGCCCCGGCAGACGAGCGAGTGTGTATGTGTGTCTGCGTACCTCATCGGGTGTACGGACATGCATCTATGTTTGCGTTAGCATGAGTGACATCATGACGATGATTCCCCCCCACTTCCATAATGACACCAATACACGCAATCTGCATAAACCCAAATTTTTTAAAAAATTAATCAGTTTGTCTGACGATCGCAAAAAAGCGTGAAACCCAGGGTCACAAACTCACATCAATCCAACCAAATACTAATATACATATATTAATCAGAATAACAAAAATAATAGATTTCTCACAGTTACTTTCTCACGCACGTGCTAATGTATCGTACTTTATACACTGTACAATTGAAAGGCCAGCCACCGCCGCCAAGCGGTCACTTTGAGAACTAACACGACTCGTTTCGCAAAGCCTGCAAATTTTGAAATACATCGCTGACGATTTGGAAGTTTTTTTTTCCGGCATAACTTTTTTTTTTTTATTTTACCTGCATATTTTGTTTGTTGCAACCGAAGTCCATTGATGGGAGGGGGGGGCGTAGATGAGAGGTTTGTCTGTATATTCTTATCACTATTAACATTTTAGTGGGTACACGTGTTTTTTTTTTTTATAAGCAATTTACTGGGTACATGTTTTGTTTTATTTTATTAAACAGTAAAAATTAATGACAACCGGTCTAAATTGAGAAGTCCTATTAAAGAAAACGTGGAATCGAACATTTTTCCATCAAGGAAACAAACATTTTCATGCAAAGCGTGCCTCTACAAGCTCGGCCATGGAGCCAACCCGATAGGGTAAAAGTTTGAATTACCTATTAACGAAAGAACGTTTCTCGTTGGGACGTCTGCAAATCTATATCTGCTAGCTTCAGTCTCTGTACCCCGAAACACAAACACACACACACACACACACACACACACATATATATATATATATATATATATATATATATATATATATATGTAAGCATTTCTGTATAATGCTGGTTTGATTAATTGGCCACCAGCTGTGTGGACATAAATTGTTGTATCGACTAACTGCATTCTTTCCCAGCTGGATCTTCCGAAGTTCAGTGTTGACAAACGAATCTGTTGGAGAGTTTTGTGGGTGGCTTCTACAATTAACTCATGTCTAGCGACCGTGCACTCATTTTTTTTTTATCCGGGGTTGTTTTTTTTTTGTTTTCTTTTTCTTTTCGGGCCATCTTTAGGGACCACCACCCCTTGACGCCCACTTTCCATCTATCTATCTCACCATTCTTCGACTGTTTATTCTATCTTGCCGGTTTTGATGAAGTGCCTTTGTATCCTCACCATGACAGAATGCTGATAAACACTTGTTCTATTTAGGTGAAGAGATTTTTCTTTACTTTGATTCATTGTTATTTTTGTTTTATACAAGATCAAGCTCTTTATACGGCATTTGGTGGGAACAACGGTAGCAATTCCGCTTCATGGCAACCGTAATCAGCATTCGATTGTAAATCGAGGACCAGGTTTAAACTCTGGATATATCAACGTTGCACAATCTGTGATTGTCAATTTATTAGTGAGATTTCAAAAACACTTGACGCGAACGCACACATGCATCAGGTGTTAACCAAAAGGTGGAAGTATTAAATAGTAAAAAGGAAATTACTTCAACACCTAGTTTCCATCGGCCTTGTCGAAGTAATCACCACAGCAAAAGGCTGGTGATAGCGCTTTGGAATCGAAGTAATGATGCGTTAGTTTTTGAAACTATGTCAACCCCAAGATCATCTGATGAGTGCTTTGTTGGAGGCATTTTTTTTAACAAAAACTTATGGAAACAATAGTAAAAAAAAAAAAGATAAATTAAATAGCCAGAACTATATACTTAAAAGATATATTTAAAATTAACTTTTAAATTTTCAGTATCCACTTTCCTTCGTACGCATGCCTAGTCGCATCAACGTAAACTTTAATGAAGTCCGAAAGAACGAAAAATCTTTCACGTGTCATAGTTTTTCCTCTGAAATTATTCTTGAAAATTCATATATCGTTTTGCCATATCATTTAAAAACACACACACACACACACACACACACACACACACACACACATATATATATATATATATATATATATATATATATATATATATATATATATATATATATATTGACGTTAAAGAAAGGGGTCATATTTTTATTATTAAAATAGATACTAAAGTATCTCGTTTAAAAGGAAAAAGGATTTCAGGCACCTTAAGGCTGACACTTCCCCAGGAATAAAATCGTCGGCAAACTAAAACGGAGTTGCTGATGATAAAAATTATCAACAACCGCATTAAAATTAATTACCCAATAGTCATATGAGGGAGAAAAAATATGACTAAATATGTCCAAATTCAGGCAGCGGTTTCCCCGAAAAGGGCCAATCGAAATTTCATCTCCCGTTGTCTACACAGGGCAGGACGTTGCATGTTAATAATAATAGACTCCAAGATGTTTATGTGGAGTCTCGTCTTGACCCTGTGTATGATAGAAAAAAAGTCAGAAGAATAATTCGTCCTACAAGCAACAGAATTTAATTGGTGCTCACCAATCGCAGATTCATGAGTTTGCAAACACCCGAATGTAATAGGCTCGTATCTTCGCACCTTGCCCGGAACATACTGGGTAATCCTTACCTCTAACCATTGAATGGTCTTGCCTACAGTTGATTTCACAACGACATTTATACTGATATATAACAGAATTTTGTTGACAGAATTTTGTTGACAGGTATATAGATTAGTATAGTTAATGATATGAAATGGCGAAAACTCTTCGCAAACAAAATTTTAAAGTTGCATGTCTTTCATGTTTTTTAAGAAATAAATTTATTTTTCGTTGTTTGCATGCAGTTATGAAATAGTTTAAATCAAAATGTATATAAAATAATTATAATTTAAATTAAAGCAAATTTCTATTTTCTTTTCATTAAATAATCCAACACGAGCATTCATTACTGCAGAGCAAATTCTTGGCATCCTTTCTAGTAACTTGGGAAATTGACTCCCAAGCAGTGTGGAAATATGATTTAAATATTTAATTTAAATATTTGATTTAAAAGAACTGATCCGACGTGCAAATTTTCGGGATAACAGCTGCGACATTACTCTATTTATTGAACAATTTAATTCATGCCACATCGACTGAAAAAAACTCCTGCAACAAAAAAATTCTCAAATTACCATATTAGTAAAAAACGCACTCTCTCAAATTTTCAAAAAATTCAACCTTAGCGTTATGACTGCACGCTCCAAAAGTTTTTATCCGTGAACAATAACACATTTCTAAAAAAAAAAAAACATATTTCGATTCGCATTTAATCTTTCGTCTCTGATACTACCTGGGTTTACTAAAAACAAAATAATTTCCATGCCTGAGGATGACTGTGTGTACAGTTGAAAGTATTTGCAGATTAAAAAAAGACTTGTAGTTATTATAAACAAGGATCATAACATTCATCGAGTGGTTCGTAGGTTAATGCAACTTTAAAATTTTGTTTGAGAAGAGTTTTCGCCATTTTATATCATTAACCTTACTAATCTACATTTTGTATGAATGATTCATGTAATATAAATTGAACTGTACATACATATATATATATATATATATATATATATATATATATATATATATATATATATATATATATATATATGATCAGTGGTGACTCCAGGTTATCAATGTTTGTCGGGCCCATTACAATCATTAACAAAATATACTGTTGGTATAACTTAGATGATAAAATAATTCCTTTTTGCTATAACAAAAATATGTCATTTTTAATAATCTCTGTGCATGAAATTAAAAAAAAAATGCTATTGCGATGATGGCCAAACCAAGAGTCCTCCACAGGTTAAATATTACCCGATAAGGCGCCTTTTAAGCTCTTTATAATAAAACGTGCACTGCAATTTTGGATAGAAAATGGAAAATAAGAGTTACTCCCCTTGAGCCATAAAAGCAACGATAATGGCTAGATAATATATTAATATATATTTTTTAACCTCGCATAATCTGGCAACCTTGAATCTGAGCTCAACGAAAATCGTTTCTAGGGCTTTTGAATGAGCAATTAATCACTGAAATCGGAGGCTTGAGAACGGAGGAGTTACTTGAACACTGACACGCACAAACACATACACTGTACTTTATATATATGATATATACAGTGGCCTAAGAAAAGCTTTTAACCAGGAGAAATAAACTACATCCAATTTCAAAATTTAATTACGTAATCTCAACTCAACATAAATAAACAGTATTTGGAACTAGTATTGAGTAAGTCCCCCATTTGCTAGTTTCAGTGTTTGTATTCGATTTTTCATGGATTTGATCAAGTTATCAACAATCTTCTGATACTTATTTTGCCAATCCTTTAGCAAGGTTTCATTAAGGGCTGCCGCTGACGTGATTTTGGTTGCACGCTCCTGAAGTCTTCGGTCAAGGTGCTCCCAAACATGCTCTATTCGATCCATGTCAGGATTTTGGGCGACCCATGGCAGTGACTTGATTCCTTGCGATTCCTTCCAGACCTTTGCTACTTTGCTCGTATGACATGGCCTTACATCTTCTTGAAAAAGGTAGACATTCTTGTCAATCTGATTGGTTTCAAATAATGAGAGTAGTCCTTATACTAATATTTGACAGTATTTTGGACCATTCAACCACTCGTCATCCCTCCATGTTTCACGGTCGCTTGCAGACATTCAGTGATCCAAGTCTCATTCTGATTTCTCCAAACATAAACCTGTCTCGAGTTCGAATATTGGCAGAATTTCCTTACTTCTGATCAAATTACGGACTGCCAAACTTCATAATCGTTAGAATTCTTGAATTCTCTCGCCCAGTCCTTACGCCTGTTCCTGTTAACCTCTGAAATCAAGGGCTTCTTTCTTGCAACTATTCTTTTATAGCCTAGCTCTTTCAGAGTCTTTCTCACCATATATGGCGACATTTTCATGCTGTTGGCGTCATCTTTGACGCTTTGACGTCGGTTTCTGATAACTTCCCTATTCAGCGCCCTTTTCGTTCGCTCAGACAGAGATGCTTGGTCTTCCTGAACGTTGTTCCACACGACAATGGCCTTCTTCATTAAATTTCTTGACTATTATTAACCGTTTGATGATTAACCTGGAAAAACCTAGCAATTTCTCTATTTCACTTGCCACACTGATGCCATCGTATTATATGCCCTCGTTGAAATTCACCAATTTCCTTACTTCCACAAACTTTCATTGCAAAATGAATATCAACTATCGTTCAGAGATGAGAGCAGCTTGATACTAACATGGTATTGTCTGAAAACAAAAAAGAATAGACGTTATTACACTAGCCAAAATTGGTGTAATCAAGTGTGGCTAAAAACGTATCAAAGCCCTCTGTACATCGTTTTACCATATATATATATAGTTTTATCATATATATATATATATATATATATATATATATATATATATATACATGTTTCATTTAAAACGACAGACACGGTACTATGGTTAAGCTTTTTATTTAATTTTTCTTGTGTTCGTACAAGAGCTTTATTTTCTGGACAAAGGGTGTGTAAGAACTGTCCAAATGTTTTATAAATGTATAGCCGAAAGCGCTCGGAAATATAAAACATTTTGTCCAGAAAAGAAAGCTCTTGTACGAACACAAGAAAAATTAAATAAAAAGCTTAACCATAGTACCGTGTCTGTCATTTTTAACGAAACATGCATCAAGGAAGGATTGCTGACTAAATATGCAACTATACATATATATATATATATATATATATATATATATATATATATAGTCTTAAGGTGTGCTATATTTATGGGATAAAGTGCTCAATATCCGGGATAGAGCGCGTGTAAATATAAAAGTGAACATAGAAGTCAACAGGCGACAGTCTGTTTCATGCTAGGCGAAATCGTAAGGTGGCCTGACGATTGCGTCTAGCATGAAACAGAGTGTCGCCTCTAAGTGTTGACTTCTACGTTCGCATATTTATCAGAGTGAGAATGAGAGAATCGTCTATGTAACTGAAGGAAGAATTTTGTCGTAAAATATTTTTTAAATGACCACTTTGCAGAAATTCCAAACATAGCACAGCTGAACCGCCTCTAACAGGAGACTTCTTTGGAAAACCAATTTTCTGTCTATAAAAATTTTAACCGAAGGTAAAAAAAAAAAAAAAAAATTGAATGGGGATTAAATGACGCATTTTTATGATTTTATGTCCAAATTTTATTTTTGGGTTAAGTGATGTGTGTGTGTGTGTAAAATTAGACACTGTGTATAATGGCTCGGGGAGGTAAGCCTGATAGGGGCTCCGGGCTCTGCTTTGTGCTATTTTATCAACGTTTGCTTTTTTTCTACCTACATTTATATACCTACATTTATATACTGACTATTAAAGGATGGAAACTTTTCGCGGATTTTCACGTCATTTTGGGCTTTCTTTTTTTTTTCGCCCAAATCTGTGAATTTGTCTTTGCCCACGCTAATTCTAAAAAAAAAAACACTATATAAAATTCACTATTTTTTTATCCATAATATTGAATATATTGAATTATTTTAACTTTTTAACGAGAAAATTTCCAAGTTGATATTAAAAATTGGCGCAAAACATTGTTACTTTATTTTAGATGGTATTTATTTTCAATTTTTCTACTTGAATTATTCACTTATATTGCATATGTTCCATTATTGTACATAATTATGTTACAATAAAACGTATATTTTTTTAGAAATTGAGATATCATAGTTTGGGAAGGCGTACAGGACCCTTGCTCTCTACGCGTGTTTAATTTACGTAATTATGTCAGTGACAAAAAAAAAGCATTTATTTACACAACAAATATTTATTTTTCAACATAATCTCCTTCCATAGATCAAATACGGTGAACATGTCAACTCAGAATCCAAATCCAGCTTATTACGTGTCAGACTACATACTTATAGGTCCACCCTTTTATGTTTGTCTGTCTATAAACTGAAGTGGAAAATATTTAGAGATAGCTACTTTATAACGTATAGCTTTCCTCTTCGTTTGAAGGATGGCGGTTACGCGACTTGGAATAGAGAAGAAAATCCCATCTGAAGAACGTGAAGAATTTGGAAATGTAAACACGAAGCAGAGTCTTTGTCTTTCTTATCGACGGTTGCGTTCTTGTATAGAGGAGACCACCATATTCACCACTCTCTCTCCTTTCTCTTTTTTGTTCTCTGTTCTTTCCCTTTTTCATCTTAATTTTCTCCTCTTTTTCTTCGCCCACCTTTTTTATTTTATTTTATTTTTTTTTAGCTTTCTTTCTCTTTTCGCATTCCATAATTAAACCTCTCTCCTCACCGGTTTTTCTTATCAAACGCCTTCTCGCGACCTTGTCTTCTTTTTCCATTCTCTTGCCTCCTGAGATTTCTCTTAAGCACGAATTTGCTATTCATACACCCCCCCACCCACGTCTCATCTCTAACACTATTTCATTCATTGACTCATTTCAATTGCTTGACATTTGCCCTTGCATCTTGACTGTCCCCGCCCATCAAGATTCATTCAGTTACAACGCGAGACACTTCATTTTTTCAGAACGCCTGACCGGAGGCTTTGCCCACCCGACCGTCGACTCCAAACGATATCGGCCACCTTGTTGTCGACAGATTGGAACGCATCACTGACTCCAAATCTTACACCTATTTGCTAATAGCTTTTATCAGTTTGACACGGCGCTGGTATTGGTGGGAGGTTCTAGTTGGATTCTGGATGCTGTCACGGGATTAAATCCACGCCATACATATGGCTACAAAAAAGAACATTTTTATTCCTTTTTTTGATTCATATAAAAAGCTTTATATGTGAAATTTTAAATTGCAATAGAAATTTTCCATCGATTTATGAAATATAAAGTTAAATGCGTTTATCAAGTGAACACAAATCGCAGCAGTGACTAAATATGAAATTTTCTTTGATAAACGATGGATTGGTACAACAAACACTAACCAGAAATTATCTTTTCATTTTTTTTTTTTCAAATTTCTTCTTCTCACTGGAAATTCTGAGAGAATTAGATGTCCCATCGGGATTTGTTGTTGGCAGCCACAATCTTAACAACATAAGATATACAGATGACACAGTGTTGATAGCAAAATCTCCTACAGAATATAACGAAGGAAAACGAGAAAGGGTAAATACAAGAAGACAAGATTCCTATATGCAAGTGAATGCTGGACAATCTCCTCAAAAATGAAGAATAGGCTTGAAGCAATAGAAATATGGATCTACAGAAGGATGCTGAGGATACCATAGGCCGAACATGTGAGCAATGACGAGGTTTTAGAGAAAATGGGAGCAAAAAGGAAACTAATACTTAACATCAGGAAGAAGCAGCTGAAATTTCTTGGGCACGTAATGAGGACGGAAGGCTTGGAAAATCTGATACTCACAGGACAGAAGAAGAAGAAGAAGAAGAAGGAGAAGAAGAATAGATTAAGCACTCCAGACCCCGAATATCAAACATAATATCTTAACAGTGGACCCATTATTTTTTTAGGTATCTGAAAACTTTATTGCACCATTCTAGCCACTTTCATAGATTTGATGAGTTAGGTGCCTTGGCGTCATAGGACAGTGTTTCTCAACCTTTCCTTTCTTGTAGCCCATTTTGTAGTGTAAAAATAATTTCAGTCTCGCACAAGCACAAATGAAAATTCCATATAATATTAATAGCAAAATTTAGTAAAAAATATAAATTCTGACTAATGACGATATTTCTGCTGGTGTCGCTCAGCTTGTCAATTTGAACTTTCAAAACTTGATCCAACTTCACTGCAAGTTTTGCTTTTGCATCCTGTATTTTGGTGCAAGTAATACTAAATAAACATTACTAGAAGCCTTCACTAAATCTAACCGAGTCAATTTGAACTTTCAAAACTTGATCCAACTTCAGGCATGTGTCTCTTCTGTTTTCAATCTACATCTCCCGGCCCATTTTGAATATATCTTGGGCCCACGTTTAGAATAACTTTTCAGGCGTATGATTTTAGACCAATGTGGCTATTAACGGTTTGGGAATCTACTTTTAGTTCAATAGCTAACTTATGCATCGATGTTGGGAAATTTGAAAGTTTTTGTTTGCAGCTTCAATGAATTTCCGATTCCGTATCTTGTTGACCCCCGTCTCTGCCTTGCTTCCCCTGGATAGTGTTGACCATGTGTCTGTGGTCGTCTTCACTTTGTAAACAGTACGGAAAAGCCACACCATCGACGTTGGAATTTTTTTAAGCGTTTCACCCCAAGAAAGGCGGAAGGCCACTAGCACGCAAGGGGTTACAGAGAGTTGGACCGAGAGCAAAGAGGAATGATAGAGGAAAGGATGAAGAGAAGGATAGGGGATAGATCAGGGCATCTGGAGACGTCGATTGACGCTACATTTGAATAGTTGGAGATTATAGCTATCAGGGAAACAAGGAAAGTGGGGAGTTCCACAGGCGAGAGGTGCGAAACATGAAGCTATTGGAGTAGGAGACGGGTACATTTAACAGTTTCGACAGTGAAAGGGTGAGAGCGAGATGCCAGCCTAGTTGAACGCTTAAATTCATGAATTCTGGGAACCAGCGAAAGCAGCTCATCGCAGCAGTTACTGTGAAAGTATTTGTAAAAAAGACAGAGTGGGTGGGAGACGGCACGTCTGTGAGAGAGTGACTGCAGACATGATGCCAGATCAGGGTGATTTCAAAGTCGATTTCTGTTCGAAGATAATCTAACACTCTTTAACGTTTGGCCTACTGTGAAGCCATTTTCCACGATATTCCTAAAAACATGTGTTTATTATTAGCTGGCAGTATGCTCTGTTCTACATTTGATTCGGCGATTGGTGGATGATTTTCATTTATATTTCACTGCAAGTTTTACTTTTGAACCCTGTATTTTGGTCAGGTAATACTAAATAAACATTACTAGAAGCATTCACTGAATACAACCGAGTTTTTAAACGAGCGAAAAAGATCTCTGAGCTTATGGCACATACCCTTAAAACATCCTAAAAACCAGAATGTGCAATTAGTAAATGCTAAACACTTCAAATACCCCAGTTTATGGGCCAGTTATAACAAATTTAGTATAGGAGTCTTTGATTTTACCATCTGTAATACGGGAATGGAAAGTTACGGCGTAGCCCATTTGGCGTCGCTGATTCCGTATAGGAATTTTTCGGCAGATGGTCGATTACGCGTCAGATTACTGCTTCGTCGTTATAGTCAAATTTGTTTTTTTTTTTTTTTCTCTCTCTCTCTCTCTCTCTCTCTCTCTCTCTCTCTCTCTCTCTCGTTTAGTAGTCAAATTAATACTTCGTTGTTATATGCTCGAATAGACCATTTAAGAAAAACATGGAGGTTAGAGGTTAAATTTAAGAAATAGAAAACGCGGAAGAGACAGTGGCACATGATGGATACTTTTTTTTTAATTTTTGACGCGATGTCAATAGAAAGTGAGATTTTTAATAGGCTTCTCAAATCCCTAAATGAATAAAAAGTCATATTGTAAGTTGGGTGTTTTCAATGCTTTTATCCTTTTTTTGGTGTGGGAAGTGCCTCCGTCCAAAGACAGTGACGACGATACAGTCTGACCCCTAAACGGCTCTGCCGAAGAATCTAATTATTTTTCTGACACCGAATCAGCGACGCCAAATAGGCAACGCCGAAACGCACAATCAGTGCATTTTACATATCTAGGCTCAGAAAAGGATTTGGAAGACAGAATTGGAGCTGTATACGGGGTATTTGGAAAGCTAATCAAACGGGTCTTCAACAACGAAGATCTGAACTTAACAACAAAAATTATGACCTATAATGATGACGATATAGAGTTCATGTTTCGCAACTATAGTAAAGTTAAAATACTTTACTATAGTTGCGAAACTTGAACTCTATATCGTCGCGATTTTCAAAACTTAGAACACGGTCATCAACAAAAACTTCGTTCAATCTTGAACGTCAAATGGAATTGCTATGTTAGCAACAACAAAGGAGGAAGTAGCCAACAGTGAAAGCATCGAATCTCTGATCATTTAACACCGTCTTCGATGGTCAGAACATGTAGCAAGAATGAAAGCGTCAAGGTTTCCACGTCAAATTTTATCCCGTTAGCTCAGTTTAGGGAAAAGATCGCGGGGTTGCCCTCGTCGAAGATACAAGGACCAACTCAAAACAACATTGAAAGTCACTGGACTTCAGCCTAAATTGTTTGAAACATATGCACAAGACTGTATCAACTGGCGATGTTGCATTACAATCCGAATCAAAAATTTTGAAGCCACCAGAAGAGAAAATGAAGAAGTCATACGACAAGAGAGAAAGAATCGACAAAA